CTATTAACCTTTCCCCTCCTCCATTTTGTGTTGATTTACAGGGCTCCAATCTGTAATATTTATTTTTAAAAAGTTTTGTGTGGCTATGTGTGTAGTAAGAGATTCTCAATATTTTTAGTAGCTAGGAATGAATATCTATTCTCCCCTATTTGCTGTGACCCCTTTTTGTCCTATTGATAGTTTAAAAGAATAATTTAACAGCCTTGACATGATACTAGTCATAGTTTACATCAATTAAAAAATCATTATTTGAATAATGCGGAGATCATACTGAAAACATAAGAAGTCTAAAATATCAGTTCTCTTCAGAGAATTTAATGCCTCTTTCCAAAGTGTAAAGGATCTTAATTGTAAACTTTGATTCTAAACTGTGAAACATCTTTGAGGAAGCCTTGTTATGTGAGATATATAGATTTTGGATAAACTGTATATAAGCTTTACAGTGAAGCTTCTGAGACAGAAATCTTAAGGTTTTATATTCCATTAGCTATTGCCATTCTTTTCCCTAGATTGTTCCTTGAGAAATTGGCTAGTTTTACTTGCAGCACTTAGCATAGTACCTGGCACACACTAGGTGTTCATTTAAAACCTATTTAATAACTAAATGAATAATTAAATGAATTCCTCCATTTTCCCTATGTTGCAATTTAGTACTGTCACTATTTTAAGATCTGTCAGAGGGAACTTGGAAAATAGAACATATGGGTGTCCTCCATCTGAAAGTGGAGTGTTCTTGTAAAACCTTCCACAAGTCACAATAATGTAAAGTGAAGAAACAATTACCATGAATCTATATGAAAAAATTTGACCCTTCTCAGACCAAAAAATTACCTCTTTTAGACTCTTCTGATACCTGAGGATGGATCTTGTTAACGGATGCACAAAATAAATTGAGCTAAAACAAAGATGCTCACAGATACAGTTTAAAGCTATAGTAGCTTAATGCTGAGATGCTTAGTTCTTGCAGAAGGAACTTGGTGCTACTCACTGCCTCTATAATGCATCACTGCAGAAAAAACACTGAATGCTATTTTTTTTCTTTTTCTTTTCTGTAAAAGTAGAAATCCTCTGGATTTTTCTGTTAGTGAGGACAGGCCAAATGTAGGTCTTTCATAGAACCAAAATGGCAGAATGTGAGCTTTCAAAACACTGAAGATACTTATACTGGCTTTACTTTCTTGACACACACATCATGGAGCAAGTTTTTACTTAACTGTTTGTCTTTTTTCACTCTTTATGTTCAATTTTTGAATAATATTATTTTCATCCATTGCTCATTTATCCTCTCCTTAACATTGAACTTAAGTTCTAATTAGAATTTACTTTTTCTTAACCAGGGATAGCTCTCAAAAATTATGTAGAATGTTTCATAAAAAACTCTTTCATTGCAATACCTGAAAGCAATAACAATCTAAGACTGAATAGCAGAAAATGTTTGTTTTCTTTAACTCAAAGAAAAAACACTAATTCATGAAGATATATGTACCTTTCTGTTTATTGAAGCATTATTTACAATAGTCAAGATATGGAAACAACCTAAAAGTCTACTGATAGAAAAATGGATAAGGAAGATGTGGTATTCCAATGCACAATGGAATATTATGCATCCATGAAAAAGGATAAGACTGTGTCATTTGAGACAACATAGATGGACCTAGAGAGTATATTAAGTGAAGTAAGTCAGATCAAAAAAGACAAATATCAAACAATTTCACTCATATGTAGAATCTAAAAAGGAAAAGAAACAACAACAAAAAGGAGAATCAGATCTTTAAATACAGTGAACAAACTGATGGTTGCCAGAAAGGAAGAGGTTGCAGGGGATGAGCAAAATGGGTAAAGGGGAGTGGGAGATACAAGTTTTCAGCTATGGAATGAATGTCATAGGAAGGAATAAAAGGCATAGCATAAGGATAATTAATATTATTATAGTGATATATGGTGACAGATGGTAACTATACTTGTGAACATAGCATAATGTATAGACTTGTTGAATCACTATATTGTACATCTGAAACTGTGACAGTGTGTGTCAACTATTCTACAATTAGAAAGTTATTATCTTTAGATCAATTATAAAAAATGTTCAGTTTAGAAAATATCTCTCCAAGTTTTCTTTTTTAAAAAAATATTTTAATTATTTATTTATTCATGAGAGACACAGAGGGAGAGGCAGAGATATAGGCAGAGGGAGTAAGCAGGCTCCCTGCAGGGAAACTCGATCCTGGAGTTCTGGGATCATGCCCTGAGCCGAAGGCAGATGCACAACCACTAAGCCACCCAGGCGCCCCTCTCCCAAGTTTTCTTTTTTTTTTTTTTAATTTTTATTTATTTATGATAGTCACAGAGGGAGAGAGAGAGAGAGAGGCGCAGAGACATAGGCAGAGGGAGAAGCAGGCTCCATGCACCGGGAGCCCGACGTGGGATTCGATCCTGGGTCTCCAGGATCGCGCCCTGGGCCAAAGGCAGGCGCCAAACCACTGCGCCACCCAGGGATCCCCCAAGTTTTCTATATCTAAAAAAGATTCTACTTGGTTATCATTCTATCTACACAATTTCATATCTTGTTCTTTTCACTTAATATTTTCCCATGACATAAAACATTTTGAGAGAACAACATTCAATGCAAAGCGAGTCAAAATACCTCAGAGGACCCCTTCTATGAATTCAGGGCACTGGGAGTACTTGGTGGCTCTCCACTACATACACAGTGATTTAAGGTACTAGCCTCCTCAAGGATATGATGTGAAAATTTGGCTTAAAAATGGAAATTATCAAAAATGACAGTTATATTAAAATGTATCCTGGTTTGATCTTTGTTAAATATAATCTTTAAAAAACAATTCACCTTGGGGCAGCCCGGGTGGCTCAGCGGTTTAGCGCCGCCTTCAGCCCAGGGTGTGATCCTGGAGACCTGGGATCAAGTCCCATGTCTGGCTCCCTGTATGGAGCCTGCTTCTCCCTCTGTTTGTGTCTCTGACTCTCTCTCTGTGTGTCTCTCATGAATAAATAAATAAAATCTTAAAAAACAACAACAACAATTTACCTTGAAAACAGTGCTAACTAGATAGTGGCATGTTCTCGGTGGAAGAGACAAACAATAATGGTAGTTCTAAAGATGAAAAACTATGAAGCTGAACCCATAAAGTGCATCATCTTCTATGCCTGAGTGTCAGACTATGCTGGGATTTTTATTACCCAATGAAATATTCAGGAATTTCTTCAAAAATTCAGAGAACAGAGAATGATGAAAATAAAACATGGAAACTATACTTTCAAACAGTCCACTGTTAGTCTTTTCGGTGGAATAGGAAAACACTGAGGAATTTACTTTTTGTGAGGCAAAACCAGAATATCTGATTGGTGAGAGCATTAAGCATGGAAATGACCCTTGGTTACTCTTAGGTATGGCCAGTACCCTTAGGGTTATAGACAGGTGGACCATCATTTCAAGCCTTGTTGAAAGACCTACTCTAGCACAGTATCTGTGTTCCTTGTGCACCAGAGGGCATCTCTTTCCCAAAGAGGTGGATCCTTGAGTCTACACGACAGGCTTTCTTTACCACAGCGAGACAGAACCTTCTTCCATAGGTCACTGGAAGGAAAAGATCTGCCAGCTCCAAGGGCCTACGCTCCGTGTTGAAGCACCAGGAATCCTTAGATGTGACATAAGCACCTCAGGAATAAAGAACCAGATGGGGCCAACTGCCAGGGCCTGCAGTGGGAAAACTGGAAGAGACAGCTCAAGAGGTTGGGGCGTTACCCCTTTTCCCTTTTATTTTTGGTGTTAGGAAAAGGAAGGTGGACGTCTTGGGCTTGAGGTACCCGCAGAGAGGAAAATCGAGGGCATCCCCAGATCAAAGACCCTCACCCAAGACCCTAGAGAGAAGCGGCTCACGCCAGCCGCATACCGCCCAGGCCCAACGGGCCGCCGCGCCAACTAGAGAGCGGGTCTGACTACAGTGAGCTCCGACGCAGCGAGCGGGCAGGGAACGCGCGGCTGGAGGTGGGCGGGGCGACGCCGACTGTCCGAGCGCTGATTGGCTGGTGGCGCTCGTCGCCTGGTGCCATTTGTTGCTGAAGCCGCGCACCTGACGCAGTCCCGGCGTCCCGCACGTGCAGCCGTTTAAGCGGCGTCGGCGCCTGTGAGGACCCCGGGAGAACAGGCGGCGGAGAGGTGAGTGGCCTGGCGCCTCTCTTCGCAGCGCGGGCCTTGACCTGCCGGTGTGGGCTCCCCGGCGGCGGCGGTTTGGCCCAGAGAACAGATGGGGCAGGCGAGGCTAGGAGCCGTCCTTTGGGGCTTTTCCCTTCCTACCTGTGTAGGTCGTAAAACCCGGCGGACGCCCGGAGGGCTCAAGGCCCATGGAGGAGACGAAGGAGCGTTTTTGCGCAGCTCCTGTGAGGCCTTTTCTCTGAACAGGAACGGTGGTAGTGTGATTTATGTGCCCACGCCCCGCGGAGAAACTGGTTGTCCATTGTTGGGAGGCCGTGGGCCGCCTAGCCCGTGTCCCCTCTCCTGCCTCGGCCTCAGCTCCCACTCTCTCAACAAACTATCAAAGATTCCAAATCAAACATCTTGACCTTTGAAGGGAAGAGAGAAACTTTGGGTAGTAGTTGAGAATTTTCCCTTACCCTTAATATCCAAGAAGCTGCTTGGGGACCCTTGGAAGGAGAGGATAAATTCAATGGTTAGGTTTTGGGGGGGGGAAATCCTAGACATCAGTAGGGACATGGTGATTGCTAGAATGATCAATTAAGTTGTTCAACTCATTTTTAAAGGAAAAAAAAAAGATATAAAGTAAGAAAACTTCCCTCTTTTTGAAAACGCTTTTGGGGAAGACCAGTTATTTCAGTAGTTTCAGGAGGTGTATGTGACATTATGATAGTTTATGCTTTGAGATCTAGGATTCTGATCTAACAGAGGCCAAATGTGTCTGTTGTTTGCTTCTCCTTTTTTTTTTTTTTTTTTTTTTTAGATAAAAACAGAACTGAAAGCCACCATGGGAGATGAAGATTGGGAAGCAGAAATAATCAAACCTCATATGCCTTCCTATGTTCCTGTATTTGAAAAGGTAGTAACATTGAAAGTTTGTGGTTATTAAATGCTACAGATTATATCAAAGTTGAAAATCACCGTGGTGGAAAAGTTAAAAATTACAGTCTGTTTCAGTATGCTGTGCCTACCTCCATCTATCTGATTGTTATTAACTATCTTAAGGGCGGTGAGAAAGAGGCACTCTAGGCTTCAAATGGAATAAAATCGGTAATTTGATAATTAGAATAAATGTAATACTATTACATACTTACTGTGGGTGGAAGCAGGCTGGTACAAATGTGGTTGGATATGTCTGAGAGACATTTATATTAAAAACTGAAAAATACTGTTTGGTTTTGGGTGATGTTTTGAATTCTTAAAATTGCTTTTATACATCTTATCTCAAGATGAACATGGTAGGCTTATTATCAGTGCTCTGCTTTTGAAATGTGCGAATAATCAGATCTTTTTCCTTAGTGGTGTCAGATCTTTTTCTTTAGTGGCATTTGGAGAATTACATTGTAATTCAAAAGAAGAGGCCTTGGAGTTGGTTTTTGGCTTTCTGTTCTGACTTGAAAATGGACTTAAAAAAAACTCTGCTTTAGAAGTTTATGTGTGTATTTATATATATATACACACACACACACACATATTTAGAAGTTAATATATTTTAAGGGATTTTTTTTTTTTTTTGCGTGTTAACCTACTTGAAATTTCTCCAAAAGTTGACTCTTTTCTTTTAGAATTTTTTTTAAAGATTTATTTATTAATTAGAGACAGAGAGAGAGAGAGAGAGAGCCAGAGACACAGACACAGGCAGAGGGAGAAAGCAGGCTCCATGTAGGGAGCCCAACATGGGACTCAATCCAGGATCTCCAGGATAAGGCCCTGGGCCGAAGGCGATGCCAAACCGCTGAGCCACCCGGGCTGCCCAATTCTTTTAGAGTTTCTTTTTCTTTTTCTTTTTTTTTATTGGAGTTCAATTTGCCAACATATAGCATAACACCCAGTGCTCATTCTGTCAAGTGCCCCCCCTCAGTGCCTGTCACCCAACCCCCCCCCCTCCGCCCACCTCCCTTTCCACACTACCCCTTGTTCATTTCCCAGAGTTAGGTGTCTCTCCTGTTTTGTCACCCTCACTGATGTTTTCACTCATTTTCTCTCCTTGCCCCTTTATTCCCTTTCACTAATTTTTATATTCCCCAAATGGATGAGACCATATAATGTTTGTCCTTCTCCAGTTGACTTATTTCAGCCTAATACCCTCCAGTTCCATCCACGTTGAAGCAAATGGTGGTTTTTTTGTCGTTTCTAATAGCTGAGTAATATTCTTTTAGAATTTCTTGTTTGCATTTATGTTGGTCCATTTTGTTACTTCAGATGATATCTTGGAAGTTCTTATATCATACAAAAATATAAAATATGTAGTCCTTTATTTGTTTTAGTTGGATTTGATCTGTATGTAAAGTTTATTTCAAAATACAAGATGATAATATGAATTTATCATTTTTTTGGAACTGACATCTTTCATGTGTTACTTTTTTAATACTCCTTTATCATAAAAATTTCATTACAACATTGGGAAAAGAAGAGAAATATTGCTTAACAGTCTTGCTTATTAGTACACTTTTGTAAATTTTTAATAGATTTTCTTCTTTTTTCTCCAATGGTAGTACATAAAAGTGTTTTTGATTGCAGCTTTTTCATTCTTCAGCACTAACTATTCTGTATTACTACTAATTTCCTAGAAGTAATTTCTTGCCTTTGCATAATATGTCATGGAATGGATCTACCATAATTGATTTTCTGTTGGTGGGAATTTAAGATGTTAGCTTTTCACTATAATGTCAAGAATATCTACAGTTTTTTTTTTTAAGATTTTATTTATTTATCTGACAGCACAAGCAGGGGGAGTGACAGGCAGAGGCAGAGGGAGAGGGAGAAGCAGACTCCCCACTGAGCAAGGGACTTGACTCAGGGCTTGATTCCAGGATCCTGGGATCATAACTGAGCTGAAGGGAGATGCCTGACTGAGCCGCCCAGGCACCCCTACAGTTTATATTTTGATTTAATTTGGGAGTATTTTTTTTCAAAAATGGAATTACATGGTCAAAAGGCATTTTATGGTTCTTTTTACCCCTGGTTCTCCATAGACTCATTTTATTACAAAGTTTAATTCACAGATAAAGATTTTTTTTTTTTTTTTTTTTGGATAGTCACAGAGAGAGAGAGCCGCAGAGACATAGGCAGAGGGAGAAGCAGGCTCCATGCACCGGGAGCCCGATGTGGGATTCGATCCCGGGTCTCCAGGATCGCACCCTGGGCCAAAGGCAGGCACCAAACCGCTGCGCCACCCAGGGATCCCGATAAAGATTTTTCAGTTGAACTTTAATACTTACCTAATTTTTATTTCTTCTTGGTCTGAGATTTTTATCTTCATTAAGTTTTCTTCAAATAGTACACTAGACTGTAGCATGTTGTGTATATTTATTGCATAGGATGTCTGAAATTGGGGATGGTTGACTGTGAGAGCTTTCATATTTACTTTTCTTGAAATATTTTTGCTCTTTAGTAACAAACCTTGTTTCTTAGAATTTAGGAATTCTAAATTGAGGATACCTTATGATTCCTAATACATATTTATGTGGGGCCAATTTGTAAATTTTTTTCATTGTCTGCAAATAAGTTTAGAATTAAGATTCCTCGTGCTGGTTGTGCAATTAGTTATCTGACCCAGTTGACTTGAAGGAACATGGTGCAATAAATGGCTTTGTCTGTGTGCCTTGGTTGAAAAAAAAGTGCAGAAAATGAGGATGAATACATGATATGTATGTGTGGGAGAGATCTGAGGTCTTTTGTTCAGCCTAGTTTGTTTTAAAGGCACTACTTTGGTTAGCTGTTCTGAATTTCTGTTTCAAGAGACAGCCTGGCTTTTGTTTTTTAAAATTTGTCCTGGCTCTGCAGCTGTCTTGGATTGATACTATCTTTAAAAATATCTGATCATCCTGAATATTTTTCAGGATCTTTTTTTTTGAAATTTAATATTTACCCATGCTTATATAATTATGAACTAATATGCTGAGTTTCTGATAGCTGTTGGAACTTCCTAAATATAGGCTTTTGAAGTTGGTATACCAGCTGGGTGTCAAACAGTGAAAGATGTGAGGTTAAGAAAAATTTGATTATCTAGTAATTATGTAGTCCAGACATCTCGGTTGTTAGGCATTTGCACATTGTATATAAGCTTGTTGGGATGAGTATTGGAGTGGATGAGTATGGTGAATGTAACAAGTTATTGGGTTTGCTTACTAGCTGTGTAATGAATGCTGCTTGTTAGATGACCATGGGAGTAAGTCTCCATATTGATTGCTTCTGTCTCATCCTTTTGCCTTTTGGTAGCACATTTCAGAACACAAATACTCTTGTGGTTAAAGTGGACATAGCTTGAGATAATTGGTTCATCCACAATAACAATTTTTAAGTAGGCCCCACACCAAATGTGGAGCTCAGCACAGGGCTTGGACTCATGACTCTGAGATCAAAACCTGAGCTGAAATCAAGAGTCAGATGCTTGGAGGAGGGCGGGGGTGGTGGGGAGGTGGTGGGTGGGGGTGAATGGGTGACGGGCACTGAGGGGGGCATTTGATGAGATGAGCACTGGGTGTTATTCTGTATGTTGGCAAACTGAACACCAATAAAAAATAAATTTATTATTAAAAAAAAGAGTCAGATGCTTAACTGCCTGAGCCACCCAGGCATCCCCACAGTAATAATTTTATTAAGCAGTGCTAGCAAAGTTTATAATTGTCTAGATAAGAAAATAAAGTTTGGGACTTCTCTGTTCACATTCATAGTATGATTCTGAAGTAGCAGGAAGAAATGTGGCCCTCGGACTCATTGAGTTGGCAGCCTCCAGAAGTTGAAATGCTACAGCCTGTAGAAGATTATGAGCAATTTCTGCTTATAATCATCACTGGGATGTGGGAGGATACTGTGTCCCTTATTAGAAAGCAGGGAAATTCTTATATGCTAAATACGTGCAACTTGTGGAAGCCAGTTAAAATGGTTCCAAATAAAAGCCCAGATGGCAAGCTTGGAGGAAAGAGCTGTGACATCTTTGAAATCGAAATAATAGAGTTGACGATACAGTGCTAAAAAAAGGTATGAGAAGGTGGAGAGAAGGCTAAAGAGATGGCAGAGATGTTGATGGACCAGGTCTGGAAGAGAGAAAAGTGAATCCTTTTGAAGATCAACAGTTTACAGCCAGTGGATTCTAGTCAACTGATAGATATTGTGTGATGCCAGAGAGAAGGTGAAACCTAGAGAGTTTTTTGCTTTCTTTTTTTCCCCTGTGTCTGTACTCTGTCCTCATTGCACTAGGTTTCTCTCCTAGTATGGGATAGATGATTTCACTATGAGTTTTGATTGATAAATTTCTTTTTGAAATAACTTTTATTTGGAAGATGCTGTCATGTACAGAAATTAGGGCCTAGATTGTATGATTTTGCAGCAGTCACATTGGTTCCTGGCTTTGGTTGTTATTTCTAAATTTTGAGGTGCTTTGCCCTTTCTTGTGATATGCTAGCTAGCTCTCTTGAACTTTGGGTATGTGTGTGATACATGAGACTCACAGTTGGGAGTTGTCGAGCCATGCAATTGCTGACGTAGCTGCAGGAATTTAGAAGATGTCTCCATGTAGCAATTGCTGAAGAAAGAGAAGTAAAGGACCAGACTTTAACTGAGGATATGAATGTGGCTGATCTGGCTAGAACTGATCAATCAGAAGAAGGGATAGAGGATAATATTGTTTGTATTTTGGAACTTTAATTTCTACATTAGACCAAAGGAGGTGACATTGTTTGAAATTTAAATTTTATGCAGCACACTATCATATAAGCTGTCAGTTTATTTGGACAACCTATCTCAGCTATATGTGGCATGGAACCTAGAATAGGAAGTGAGATCTTGGTATTCTGTATAAATTGATACAATACTCTGATGCATTTCAGGAGATTCTGGGTATAAAAATGAAAGAGCAGCCTGGGTGGCTCAGCGGTTTAGCGCTGCCTTCAGCCCAGGGCGTGATCCTGGGGACCCGGGATCGAGTCCCACGTTGGGCTCCCTGCATGGAGCCTGCTTCTCCCTCTGCCTGTGTCTCTGCCTCTCTCTCTCTGTGTCTCTCATGAATAAATAAATAAAATCTTAAAATGAAAGAGATATTTGTTAAGGACTTAAAGGGGCTGGGGAAAAAAACATGGAGCTATCTGCATTAGACTTGAAGGGGCTGGGGAAAGAAAACAGGAAACTATCTGCATTGGACCCCTATTGGACAGGGAGGAGGCATCTTCAGGGTTCATAAACTGTCCAGCTAGAAATTTATTTGAATAGCAGATCTGACAAGTTTTTGAGGTCAAAACCTTAATACAGTAAAATGAAAAAAACAAAAACAAAAACTTCCCATGTTAATAGAAGAATTCATTTGCTTAAAAAAACAAAAGACAAAAAAAAAAAAACAACCAAAAGACAAAAGAATTCATTTGCTTAAAAAAAAACAAAAGAAATTGTGATATTCCAGAATTGAAAATATTAAGAGTACATACAAGGTCAAAAGAAATGTGCTTGCCAAAATGCAAATAGATTATTTGCAGCTGCATATGGGAACTCTTAAGTGTAAAACATTTTGAAATTTCTAAATTGGCTTATTTGGATAGTTAAAGAGGTTATAAATGGTTTACACCCAAATGTTCTACAAGTAAGCAAATGACAAGATCTATGAATCATCCAGTGAATTTTTATTGAGGCCTATTAGGTACTGGGGATAGTGATGAACATGATAGATAAAATACAACAAGGTATTAGTTTGCCAAGGCCAGAAGTTAGAAATCTAGGTGTCATCAGGGCTGTCTTCCTTCTCGAGGCTCTAGGAGAGAATCCATGCCTCCTCCAGCATTCTGGTAGCTATTTGTCTTTTGGCTGCAACTGTCTCTGCTCTGTCTTCCCGTGGCTGCCATGTGTGTCTTTTTTTTTTTTTTTTTTTTGCCTCGCATAAGGACCTTTGTGGTGACATTTAGGGCCTACACAGGTGATGCAGAGTAATCTCCTCATTTCAGAATCCTTAATTATATTCGCAACAACTCTTTTCCAATAAGGCAACATTTGCAAGTTCCAGAGTTTATTAATATATTTAGGTGGCTGTATATCAGCCTACTATAGGTAGTATGCCTAAAGTACAGTGAGATAAGACAAGAGTGGTGAAAAATGAAGTCACAGAGGGAAAGGGGAGAGAAAAGGGAGAGAAGACTGAAGATAGTTGTGAACTTAGAGTTAATAGGACTGGCTTGATTGGATATGGGGAGTGAAAGTAATCAAAGATGATAGCTAGAGTTTTAAGTTTTATTTATTGATGTTACTGAAGTATACTTGAAACACAATGTAACATTAGTTTCAGGTGTACAACAGTGATTTGACAAGCCTGTATGTTATGGTGTGCTCATGCTAGTACAGCTACTATCTGTAACCATCCAATGGTATTATAATGCTATTCACTATATTCCCTATACTGTAGGGAAGCAACCACAGGTTGTTTAAGCAACTAGATGGTTGGTGGTGCCATCTGCTGAAATGGAGAATCTGTGAAAGATCTACAAGCTTGGGAGGGTTCAAAACAAAGAATGTTTAGTTTGTTGTGTTCAACTTGAGATGCCTATGAAAACTTGTAAGATACCAGTCAGTAGGTTATAGGACTTTATTGCCTAGAAGAGGGATCAGGACTATAGATATAAATTTGATAATTATCTGTATATTAATGGATTTAAAGCTTTGAGATTGGGTAAAGTTGCATGGTGTAAAACAGACTTAGAGGGCTTTATTCTGAGTATTCTTGATTTCAGTACCTTAAAGGAAAAATGGGATATAAGAAAGAAGAGGTAGCAACTGTAGACATTTTGTTTCAAGAGGAGCAGAGAAGTGGTGCAGTAGCAGAAAGTAATATGAAATTAATTTAGTTTTAAGGAAATGAAAAAGGTTAAGAATTTTTAATGTATTTTTTAAGATTTTATTTATTCATTCATGAGAGACAGGCAGAGACATAGGCAGTGGGAGAAGCAGGCTTCCTGTGGGGAGCCTGATGCAGGACTCAATGCCAGGACCCTGGGATCACGCCCTGAGCCAAAGGCAGATGTTCAACCACTGAGCTACCCAGACGCCTCTGCCCCTAATTTTTTTTTTAAGATTTTATTAATTTATTCATGAGACAGAGAGAGGCAGAGACATAGGCAGTGGGAGAAGCAGTCTCCTTTGCACGAAGCCTGAAGCAGGACTCAGTCCCCGGACTCTGAGATCACAACCTGAGTCACCTAGGCACCTCTGCCCTGAATTTTTTATTTTTTACTTCAGAATTTGCCTTGGAATTTTAAAATTCTGTGTATGTGGGATATTAAATTCCGCAACTTGAAGATCATCTAATACTAATAGTTTTTAAATTCTTGACTGCTACAGTGTCTCATTACCTTTATTAGCTTTATAGCACTGAAATCAGCCCTTTTTTGGATTTTCTTTATCCAATAATACTTTGGCCACTAGAAAAGAAAAAAAAAAGTCTTCAGAATTTCACTTTAAAGAAGAATAATTCTCCTCCTCCTCCTCTCTTCTTCTTTTAAAAGATTTTTATTTATTTATTTTGAGAGAGAGAACACAAGCAGGGGAGAGGCAGAGGGAGAAGCAGACTCCTCACTGAGTAGGGAGCCTGATGTGGGGCTCGATCCCAGGACCCCAGAATCGTGACTTGAGCCGAAGGCAGATGCTCACCAACTGAGCTACCCAGGCACCCCTGAAGTTCTCTTAATTGTTTTAATATCTATGGTAATGATAAATTGGAACTTTTAGCTGTAGTAATTATCAAAAGCTCAGGGCAGGGATCCCTGGGTGGCACAGCGGTTTGGCGCCTGCCTTTGGCCCAGGGCGCGATCCTGGAGACCCGGGATCGAGTCCCACGTCGGGCTCCCGGTGTATGGAGCCTGCTTCTCCCTCTGCCTATGTCTCTGCCTCTCTCTCTCTCTCCCTGTGTGACTATCATAAATAAAAATTAAAATAAAAAAAAAATCTTTAAAAAAAAAAGCTCAGGGCATTTCAAGGATGGTATATTGCCTTTCTGTTCTTAATAACTCAGAAAATAATTAAATGACTTGAGCTTTATAAAAGTAGTTTTTAAAATCACTTAGTGTCTTTTGTGAAAGAAATTTTAGAAAGTATTACTAATGCACTCCCTCTAGCTTTCGTTTTATTTAAAGTAATTCATTTGAAGGAATGTTGTGACTATTCTAATGTCAGCTAACTAAGATATCATCTGTAAGTTTTAGGTCACCTTTCTTTTTAAATTATGAAATTCTGCTTTTCATGTGCAAGAATTTGAGAGCTCTCTTCTGTGAGTTATTTCCTAAGTAGAGGAAGATTATGGAAGGGGAAATTAAGGGAGTCGTTAACAATAATAAGGAGTTCCAAGTGAGAAAAAATTACTCAAGTTTTCATTTACAGAGATGCCCTGGGAAATGTTGGAAGATTCCTAGATTAATTTGACATTTAGCTGTTCATTTAATAACAAAAGTTGGATTTTCTGAGCCCATCAGAAATGCAGACATACCACTGCAAATGTAATACATATGCATTAATAATAAATGCATATTTTTGAGACCAAGGTAGGGAAAATGGGACAGTCAGTGTTTGAGAGCATCAGTGACAGTCTTCAACTGTTGCTGTGACAAGTTTGATTAAAATTAACTATGAACAGGGATGCCTGGGTGGCTCAGCGGTTGCATGTCTGTCTTGGGCTCAGGGTGTGATCCTGGAGTTCTGGGATCGAGTCCCACTCAGGATCCTTGCATGGAGTCTGCTTCTCCCTCTGCCTATATCTTTGCCTCTCTCTTTCTCTTTCTCTCATGAATAAATAAATAAAATCTTAAAAAAATTAATTATGAATATTCTGTAGCTGACATGAGCCACTTCTTTGTACTACTTGCAATGTACATATATAGGATATTGTTTTTAGGGCATCAATGATGCTAGTCTTTATTTTAGAGTGAGTTCCTTTATAAAAATTGTGAACACATTTGTTTCCCTTAATATGAGCATAACTGAAGTTATAACAATAAAATCCTGTAGTACTTTTATGCAGAAACTGTTATCTATTACTCTCCTTTTGTGTTCTATTTTATACAGTATTGATGAGTATATTGTAAAATACTGAACTTTTGAAAATATACTGTATATTGGTAGGCATTGATTTATTCATGTGTTACTTTGGTCAGATTTTATTTATGTAATAATAGTTCTTAATTATAACTGGGTGCCTGGGTGGCTCAGTCAGTTAAATGTCTGCCTTCGGCTCAGGTCATGATCCCCAGGGTCCTAGAACTATGCCCCACGTTGGGCTCCCTGCTTGGCAGCATGCTTCTCCTCCCTCTGCTGTTCTCCCTTGCTTGTGCTTGCTCATTCGTTCTCTCTGTCAAATAAATAAATACAATAAAAAATAGTACTTAATTATACTTTTCAAGTATATGGATGGGTAAACTTTTAAGTCTAATGTCTGCAGACTCTTTCCATAAAGGGCTAGATAGTAAATATTTTAGACTTTGTGGGCTTAATTATCTCTGTTGCAACTTGACTGTTGTGGTGGGAAAGCAGCCATAGACATATCTAGATGAATGAGGGTAGCTTTGTTCCAGTAAAACGTTATTTACAAAAACTGGTGGCCCACCAGGTTTGGTTCATGGCTGCAGTTTGCTGATCACTGTTTTAAGTGATATATAAATATGCTATGCATTCAGTGTTAAAGTGAAGAGGTTTTAAAGTAATAAAGGAACGAATGATCCAGAAAATCTTTGAATCTGCTATTGTTTTGTTTGGAACAAAGCCTGGTTGTTAAAATTTTCTGGTATTTGTGATGACACATTTTTATTTTCAAAGTAGAAAATGAGTCTTTTCTTCCCTCTTACAGGATAGGTATTCTTCTGGAGCAAATGGAGACACTTTTAACAGGACTACAGCTTCATCATCGGGTATGTGTTAAAGGAAAAAGTTATAACCCTTTTTAGGTTAAGGGCTTCATCTAGTGAATGAAGAGCAGACTAGTAGACATCTTGTAGAGTGTTAAATTTCTGTGAGAATTTATTGTTTGGATGTCTTAGGATGAGGGCCACTTCTAGATAGAGGAAAGGAAAGAAGAGAGGTGTAATGCTCTATTATTTGATTTTGTGGGTTTCCCGTAGAACCTTTGCCCAACCTGGAAGTTGCATATTTGGCTTTCAGGCTGCTAGAGAATTGTCAGGGTTCCTGACATAAGGGAGTAGGAGATGGAATTGTAAGACTGTTGTTTGTTTTTACAGTGTAAATATTAACACTACTGTACAAGCAGTGGACCAAATAAGAAATCAAATGGCAAATCAAAATATGTCTCAAAACAAAAGAAAAAGAGGGATGCTTGGGTGCCTCGGTGGTTAAGCATCTGGCTTTGGCTCAGGTTGTGACCGGGTGCTAGGAATGAGTCTGCATTAGGCTCCCCACAGGGAGCCTGCTTCTCCCTCTGTTATGTCTCTGCTTCTCTGTGTCTCTCATGAATACATAAATAAAATCTTAAAAAAAAAAACAATAAAATATTCCAAAACCTATGGGGTGAAGGAAAAGCAGATATGAGAGTGAAATTTATGCTGTAAATGCTTGTATTAGAAAAAAAGTTCAGGGCACCTGGGTGACTCAGTTAGTTATATGTACAACTCTTGATTTGGGCTCAGGTCATGATCTCAGGGTTGTGAGATCAGGCCCTGCAAATCATGAAGCCTGCTTGAGATCTGTCCCTTATCCCCATGCTTTCTCTTTCATAAATAAATAAATAAATAAAAAATAAATAATAAATAATAAAAAATCTTTTAAAAAAGATAAAAATTTAAATAATCATTACATTACAAAGAACTAGAAAAAAGAAGAAACTGAAATTTAGTAAAGGAAGGAAATAACAAAGAAAATCAGAAATAAGTAAAATAGAGACCAGGGTAAACAATAATATAATGTTGAAAGTAATGATCAGTTTTAAAAAAAAGGAAAGAAATTGGCAATGTTTAGCTATGTTGTTAACAAAGAAAACTACTCAAAAATCAAAATGAAAACTATAACAGATAACCACAGAAATATGTAGTGTGATAACCGATTACTATAAACAGTTAAATACTAACAAATCAGATAAGTTGGTAAACAAAACAGATAACTCTTAAAAACCACACAAGTTACCACGATTGAATCATGAAACTTGAATCCAAAAAATAGGAGATCTTCTTAGACCAGAAAGAAGAATTAAAGTTAGGAATCAGAAATCTCCCAGCCCAGAAAAGCCCAAGACCACATGGTTTCCTTGGTGAATTCTAGCATTGAAAAAAAAGTTAGTGATACTCTATTGAAATTTTACAAATCATGAAATAGAGGGAGTGTATTCAGAATCATTCCATGAAGCCAGTATTACCCTGATGCCAAAGCAAGATAGAAACAATACAAGAACAAAAAAGTCTGGTCTGTCTTGTATAAGTATTGCTACTCTGACTTTGTTTTGACATTCATTTGTGTGGTAAATGTTTCTACATCCCTTCACTTTCAATCTGTAGGTGTCTTTAGGTCTAAAATGAATCTCTTATAGGCTATAAGATTGTTGAAGCAAGTTGCAGTAGTGGTAACATGTTAGGATAATAATTGTCCTGGTCTAACTAATCTGCTCTAACATCAGGATATCATGAGTTTCTTTGGGATCTGAAAATTAATTTAGGAAAGGTCATAGAAGAATAAGAGAAACAAATCAAGGTAAGGGAGCCACTGTTTTTTCCCCTACCACTTATTTCTAGCTAGGTTGCCTAAATATTTCATAGAGTAGATGCAGATGGGAAGGGCACAAGTGATAGGACTTAGGTTAGGAAAAACTCATGGCGGTAGTCTTTGATTTTTGTTGAAATCCAAAGCTGGCTGAAGTGCTATTTCTGATGTATCTTTTTCAGTTATTGTGGTAAAATACATGTAACATAAAGTTTACCACTTTCACTATTTTTTAAAAGATTTTATCTTAGAGCAAGAGAGTGAGAGAGAGCAAGTAAGCATGAGAGGGGCAGAATGAGAGGGAGAAGCAGTTTGAGGGCTCTGTCCCAGGATCCTGGGATCATGACCTAAGCCAAAGGCAGATAGTTAACTGACTGAGCCACCCAGACACCCCTCACCATTTTTTTTTAAAGGTTGATTGATTGATTGATTTATGAGAGAGAGAGAGAGAGAGAGAGAGAGGCAGAGACAGAGACAAGCAGAGGGAGAAGCAGGCTCCATGCAGGAGCCGATGTGGGACTCGATCCCGGGTCTCCAGGATCACACCCTGGGCTGAAGGTGGTACTAAATCGCTGAGCCACCTGGGCTGCCCTCCTCCTCACCATTTTTAAGTGTACATTGCAGTGGCATTGATAAGTACATTCACATTGCCATGCAGTCATCACCCCCCCCCCCAGAGCTTTTTCATGTTCCTAAACTGAAACTTCATTCCCGCTAAACAGTAACTCCCCTGTCCCTTTTCTCCTCAGTTCCTGACAACCAGAGTGGTACTTCCTGTGCCATTTCAGTTACTGTGAATTTACTGAGTCTCTGAATTTGTGTAACTATCACTTTTAAGTTTTGCTGTAGTACAAGAGAGAGGGACTAATGGCACCAGATAGTTTGTTTTTTTCTTCAAAACTTAGTGGAAGAGGTAAAACATTTTATAGTCAAGGTAGCTGCCTGGTCACTGAGGCCTGTTCTAAAGTGAAAAAAATGTGGAAAGATAGTTTCTAAAATGTAAAGGAGAATATGAGAGTTCATCAGGGTAAAGCAAATTTAATTCCCCTGTTCATCTTCAGTTCAGAGTAATTATCTTGATAGAAGTTAAGTTTAGAAGAGATGCTTTTGCTATTGTCAAGATGCATTTATCTTTCATAAACATTTAAATGCAGTGATTTAACATAGAATATTCAGATTATGAAAACTTGATTAAACTGCTGCCTGCTAAAACCCCAGCAGAAGACTAACTTTGCTTCCATCCTATGAATCACATGCATTCATATGTACTTGAAATATACAAAAAAGTTGAATAGGTAAAACTAATCTGTGTCTATTTGGATAGATTACTGTGTAATCAGGAGAAACCTTGTTCTTTGAATTGTTGAAAGGTAGTTTTTGTAAAGGAAATAAAATTTACATCTATAGTATATCAAAGCAGAACATGTTTGTGGTGAAATCTTCAAGAAGCTAGATTGAAATAGCCACCAACCAAAAACAAGGACTTCTTTTAGCATTTGATCTCTGAATGTTTAGGCAAAGGAAATGAAATTAGGGGGCAGCCCTGGTGGCTCAGCGGTTTAGTGCCCCCTTCAGTCCAGGGTGTGATCCTGGAGACCCGGGATTGAGTCCCATGTCGGGCTCCCTGCATGGAGCCTGCTTCTCCCTCTGCCTGTGTCTCTGGCTTTCTCTCTCTCTCTCTGTGTCTCTCATGAATAAATAAATAAAATATTAAAAAAAAATGAAATTAGATAATGAAATATGTTGTTCAGAAAAAGGTAAGCAGACAATTTACAGGTACTTTTGTAGCTCTTTTTAAATTAAAAAAATTTTTTTCATAGAAATAGCTTTTCTAAATTGCAGAAATGCTTATCAGGCTAATGAATATATCTAAGCCAATACCTAAATATGCATTTTAAAGAAAAAAACAACTTAAGTTGCAGAGACAAAAAGAAAGAAAGAAAATGATTTGAAACTTTGGGCCCTGAATTAAGCCCCCATTGGTAGTATGTTGTTGAGTCTGATGTTTTAATCTTTGCATATATTCCCACATACATAATTAAATTGCAGTGGCATATTATATACACGTTTTGCTTTTTTATTGAAATACAGTTGACATACAGTGTTTCATTAGTTTCATGTATGCAGTAGAGTGATTCCACAAGTTTATACGTTATACTGTGTGTTCACAAATACAGCTACCATCTGTCACCATATAATGCTATTGCAGTACCATTGACTATATTCCTTCTGTTCTACCTTTTATTTCTGTCATTTATGCATTCCGTAACGAATCAATTACATCTGTAATAATCTTCTAACTAAGGTCGCAGTTTGAAGTTGCAGAAAGGACATGAATTTTGGAGAGACATTGTTCTGGATTCTCCTTCGATTTCCAGTGCTCCATGTGTCTGTCTCTGCACAAAATAATACTGTATTAATTCTTTGGGCTTATAATAAGTTTTATTATCTGCTAGGGCAATTCCCCTTTCATTCTTTTTTCAGGATCATATTTTTGACCTTTATTTTTCCAAGTGAAATTTAGCATCTGTTTAAAGTCACAAAAATTTTACGTTTTCATAAAACTGCAGTAAATTTATATATTTTGGAAGAAAAGTGTCTTTACTGTGCTTAGTCTTTCCATCTATGGGCCTCATTGTCTCTCGTTTATTTATAATTTCTCCATAAAGATGTTAAATATTTTAATATTTAATTCTAGGAATTATGTTTTCTTGGTTGAGAATGCTATTTCAAAATTAACCTCATTAATTTATTTAGTAATGAGTAAAAATGCTCAATATGAAAGTTTATGTTATTAAAAAAAACATTATAAATGACCATTCCCTCTAAACCTCAATTACAACAAAACATTAAATATTCCAATAATGTGTATTCTGCTTAGGTTTTTATATCCTGTTCTGTTCCTTCCAACCTGTCTTCATTCCTTTCTTAACACAAACTGTAACACCTTAGTGTCTGAATTATATTTAGGCCTTTGCCAGACATTTCAACCAAAGTCTTAAATCTTTTAAAACACTTGTTCTGAATTCAGTAACTGTGATGTAAAATTGACTGAGCTATAATACCCATCACAGGCACCAGACCAATTTCTCTCCTTTCCCTTTTCCACCCCTGCCACCCCCGGGCACCCCTGGCCCAGGCTAGGCCCACCTGCTGAGTTGGCCTGATCCACACTTGATTTGTTCAGGAGTGCAGCCACCAGCTC